CCGGCGTTGAACCGACAGGAACGCATTGTAAACAATTGTACTCATAACAATCGTCGCGCTCGTTGCAGATGGCACCTTCCACACATTCTGGTCGGCTTGCGATTAACGTCTTAGGCACTTTTAGGTTCTCAGATGTTCTAGCATTCGGTGTGCGTGCGACGACGCCGGCTGGAACAGCCCAGAGCTGAGCATCGGACGTCACTGCGCGGCCATCACTTCGTATGACATTAGTGCCTAGCCAGTTCACGGGACAGACACGGAGGAGGTCATGTTACTTACACGCCTGTGGCAGAACAGTTCCACAGGAATAAGTGCGCACAACTGAATATGTAAACGTTAGCTGACTCTCGATGCGATGGTGCCTAGACAGTGGTGGAACCCACCACCTGGCATTATTTTCCCTATGAAATCGAAGAATACGCGCGATGAGGAGATGAGGGTGTACCGTGAGGAGAGGAAGGCAAAGGAAGAGAAGATTGCAAGGGGGGAAATCGAAGCGGAAGTGCCTGTAGCGTGTAACAGTATCAAGAGTGACTATGATCTCAGCCCTCGCTAGGGGTGGGCTGCGGCTATGACCAGGGCGCTAGAGTTGCTGCTTGCTGGATGGTGAGGAACGAGCGTAGTTGATACAGAGATATCATTCTCATCCTACCTAATCATCAAAGCACAGGCCGTTACTCTCCACGAACCTAAGTGTAAAGCTCCTCAGTAAGCGCATTCAACCCCATTCCCTCCTGCGCAATATCCTCTTCCTTCAAGAAAAGCAACGGCATCTCCACCAGATTCCCCTTAATCGTGCTCAGCACCTCCTTGACCTCCCTGACGCCCTGTTCGCCCTGGGGAAAGTTCTCCGCAACAACGTGACCCCACTTGTACAAACTCGGCTTCTTGTTCTCCTTGGCCTTTTGGTCCTGGCCGAAGAAGCGCGAGTAGTACTCGTCGTATTGCTTCCAGTTCTTGACTTCGTCGCTGGGGACGGGGTGGAAGATTTTGCCAAAGGCTTGCGTGTTGGTGTGGGCACGCCAGTTCCAGAGGGCCTGAAATTCGTCGGAGATGGGGTCGGCGACTTGGAGGTCTTCGGGGGAGCCCCAGTCGTACTGATTGGGGACGCCGATGGGCTGGTAGTTGGCGTCTGGGCGTTCCATGTCCTGGGGCTTGAGTAGACCGAGGTGCTTCCTGAAAAGCTCTCTGCGGAGACTGGCTGCGAACTCAGATGCGCGGTAGGGTCGGCCATCCATGTATGAATCGACGGTCTTGGGGTCTTGGATGATGATTGCAATCTCGGAGTCGTGGTCGCCGAGCTGGGAGCGGTCGTTGAGGTTGGCAGAACCGCAGATGACGATCTGGTCGTCGGCAATGAGAAGCTTGCTGTGGATGTATAGCTCCTCAGATACGAAGGCGTCCATCTCATTTTCAGCAGAGCCCTCCCAAGGTACGCGGCGGATGTCCTCTCCACCAAGCATGTAGCACTCGCTGACGGTGTCCCAGCGCCCATCGCCAAGGCCTTGTCGGCCACCGATCTTGACAGCTTCCTGCTGGTAGCGGTCATAATCACCCGGTCTGCCCTGACTCTGGGGGCCACCGTCATACTGCTGGTGTCCAGAGGGAGGACGACCGGAGCCATCCATCTCATAGACGCCATACTCCTGGGTGGGTGGTGGACGGTAGGCTTCGTAGCCACGCGCGTTATCGTGTGCTGCATCGTAACCCTCTTGAGCTTGGTTGTAAGAGACACCGCTACGTTGCTCCGCCTCCTTCATGACCGAGCTGGAGTTGATACGATCGTAACTGCGGAGGTTGTAGAAGCGGATGTAATCCATCGGGTTGAATCCAGCCCTAGCAATCTCTTCATAGATGGAGTGACCGCCACGGTTGATGGAGTCGTACTGGACTGTGTGACATCATCGTCAGCATAACACATGCGGAAGAGACGAATCAAACTTACACTCCATGATGGCTCGAGTGCCCAATGCCTCGTCTAGCTTCAAGTCTCCAGCAAAAGCAGGCACTGCAGGAATCATAACGATCATCTTGTACTTCTCACCGTTTCGTGCAGCACGAACGATGCGCTCAACCATGGCCGCACCGATCTTGTTCTTGATCGGCTTCTGTTGATCGCCGGTAGCAGTGATGAAGAACTGGTTCTCAATGTAGATGAAGTGCTTGCTGTTTTTGATGATTTCACAGTAAGCATTTTGGATGGAATGCTAGCAAGCTTGTCAGTGTTTATCCTCTCACTCAGACGTACTACTAACCTCAGTAGTGACAAGGTTGTGGCTCCATTTGGAAGAACTGCGGGCAATCTGGCAGTCCACCCCACCCCTCTGAGAGCTGTGTTCTGCGTGCGACTGTTGTTGACCGTATTGTCCATGCTCTTGGCCACCGTACTGCTCGAATTTACTCTGCATCTTTTGGCGAAGATGCCCACCAGCGCCGTGTCCGAACAGTCCTCGCTCGCCCTCCTCTTCGTGACCAAATCCACGTTCACCCTCTTCTTCGCCTTCCAATCCTCGCTGTTGCATCGAAGGTGCCTGTTGAGCTCCGCTGCCGGTGTCCGGTAACCTGGTGTATCTGGAAGATTTGTGAGAATACTTCTCGTCATAGATGAAGTTCCAACGTTGGGCAAAGTGAGTACGAAGATCCTGTACTACAGGACCGGAGAGACACAGCGCTACATCAGACCATCCCATGCGAGAGCTTTGGGTCCTGTCGAGTTTGTTGTTCTCCCAGTGGGTCACGTCTTGGAAGTCTACCCAGTGTCAGCAAACATCACCGCCTCATGTAGGAAGAGACCGCCTATCTGCCGTCTGACAGCCCTAGAGTACGACGATGACTTACCTAGCATACGAGCGTTGTTGAAGTCTTGACCTGGGAACACGATTCGGTCGATGTTGCCGGGATGCGCGTCAGCAATTGCGTGCTGGTTAGTGTCCCAACGGCCGTAGCAAAGATCCAGTCCTCCCATGAATGCGATGTGACCATCAATGAGGCAAAGCTTCTCGTGATGAGCCCAGTACATGACAGTACCCTCATGAGCACCATAGATCGCCTTTAGGCCGTCTCCGGGAAGCTGGGCGAGCTTTGCTGGGGTGAAGGACATGTTCTTCATCGATGCGAAGAACGAAGACTGTAGTACCGCTGCATCTGGCAAATGGTCGGGGTGTCGGAAGACACCAATGTTGGGGTGGAGATCTTCCAAGTGGTGTTTGGTATGAGCTGAGGAGACTGTAATAGGAGGGGCAATCAGCGGATCTGTCTTTTCCCACTCTTCAAGACTTTTGAATATAACATCTAGGCCGACCCGCGTAAGGCCTTTGGTGAACCTATCCGTCGAACTCGGTAAAAGAGAATGAAGGTAGTCTGGTAACGTTGGATTCAAAAACTTACGAGTCAGAGCTTGCGTGACCTCCTTGTACACGATGATGTTGACCTTGACGCCACGTTCTGCTGCCGCATGTAGCAATCGGTCGACCCGGTACTGTTGGTTCTTGGCGGGCGGTCGGCGAAGATACAGCTCGGGAGAGAGCCACCAGTCGAGTATCCAGATAGACTCTTTGGCGCGCTCCAAAGCTATGGAGACAGCATACATGTAGCTACGGATGTCAATTGCCAACTCAAATATTCAATTGACCGCTCAAAACTTACCTGCACCCGTCAACATACCACTTGGTCTCGTTGCCATGTCGTTCAGGCGCGAAGCTCAAGAAGCGGTGTTGTTGATGGTACTCTTGCCCAGGCTGTGGCTGTCCACCCTGCTGGCCTTGCTGTTGATATGTACCCGGCGGGGGCTTCTGCGCGTTATCATCGCCGGATATGGCATCCTTGAGGTCGGAAACGAAGCCGTGGAGAGGGTCGTGGATCTTCTTGAAGAACGACATACCGCCGCTGCCCTGGTTTGAGGATGAAGAAGTGGGCTGATTGTTCTGCGATGCTAAAGTTAGGAATTTGTAGATCTAACACAAGCTTCTAGATACGCGTCCTGTCCCTGCAGCAAGCTAGGCGGTGTAGAATAGGAACGCAAGATACGCGAAGACAGTGAATGACGAGGCAGCCGGACGCTATGACTGTCGGGTAGTGGGGCAATTCCACTTCCTCAACAGCGCGATACACAGGGATCGTACAATGACAGCATGGCGTTTCAAAGGAATGTACTGACCTCTTTTCTGCCAAAGCCAAAACGCCGACCCATGTCACCTATAAGGCCGCGATCTCCCTCGTCGCCCTCCTGCCCATGGTAGTCGCCATATGCCAGATCATCGTCTCGGCGAGACATTGTGCCGGACTGGGGCTTCTGGTGGTTTGCCACTCAGCGCGAAGGATGTAAAGTGGACGGGGTGTGCTGGAGCTTCAGAGTTGGAGCTCGAGGCCGGATTGACCCCGCGTCATCATCTCAGCGCGACGGACCACGCACATGCAATGCAGGGAAGCCCGAGCGTGCGAGCTGAACATGTGAAACAGACACCAATGGTGTGCGCGCACCCTGATTTCCGTCTCTGCTGGCCAGGCGCGTACCGGCGCTAGGATGCAGCATGTAGCCCCTCATAGCCCTGGAGTACCCCACCATGTACGGAGCTTCCCCCTCTTTTGACAGCTTCGCCATGCTGCGCGACATGTGGTGGTAGCAGTTCAACCACAATATCGCATTGCAAACACCAAAGAGAACTGTAATAGAGGGTTCCTAGATGGTACAAAGCGCCCGCTCAAGAGTCCACACAACTTGTGGGCCGCATGGAGATGCGGCAGATGCACATGGATGACGTACCCTTGTATCATCGGCTGCTTGAGAGCGGTTCGGTAGCTGGAGAGCTCCTCCTCTTATCTGCCCACGTCGTTACACAACATCGTTGACATAGCCGTCTCCTCAATTTGCTATATCTTTCGCAATGGCTTTCTCATCTCGTCTTGCGCTTTCTGCCAGGTTGGCCTCTCGCACATTTGGATCTATACGACCTGCTGTCCCTCTCACAGCTACCCGCTGCTTCCACTCCACGCCTATCGCCATGGCGCAACACCCAATTGCTACTTTGAACGTAAGGAGAGAACGAATATTTGTCGGGCGACGCTAACAATCGCATAGGAAGAACTCATCCCTCGTCTGCCTCCCTCCTCCCCGACCCTCTTCGAGGCAAAGAAGAAGAAGAACCTATCTTTCGAAGCCATCGCAAAGCACGTCGGGCGCGATGAAGTAGCAATCGCCGCTCTCTTTTACGGTCAAGCCATGGCATCCGCCGAGGACATCAAGAAGCTGTCTGAAATTCTAGAGATTGACGCTGGGCTGATCGAATCGCTTGGAGGCTTCCCTAACCGAGGCAGCACGCTCGATATGCCACCAAAGGACCCGACCATCTACCGCCTATACGAGATTGTACAGAACTACGGACAGGCGTACAAGGCGGTCATGCACGAGAAGTTTGGTGACGGCATCATGAGTGCCATTTCCTTCAGCACCAAAGTAGAGAAGGAGACGGATGACAAGGGCGAATGGGCCAAGATTACGCTAAGGGGCAAATGGTACGTGATTGTGCATGTATCCTTAACGGTTACTGACAGAGTTCTAGGCTACCATATTCGCGATTCTAGTCGCATCGTGATAGCAATCAAAGATGTGATGCATGCCAAGTATAGTCTCTTGTTATGGTGATTCTTCGTGTCAATACCTGTAGTTATTGCTTCTTGTTCTATTCGAGTATCGTATCGTGTTTGGAGTGCTGCGATTCTTGCCGTGGGATCCATGCTTGTTGTCCATGGTGGGGTTGTTGTTGCTCTATGGTGCAGCTTTCTAGGTGAGAGCGCAAACCCACCGCTCTTGCCCATATTCTCCCTCACCTGCCATGCCTGCCTGATTCATCCTCACCCCGCTAGCTTTCCCCTCGCTACATAAACACCTCGAGCTACAAGAATCCATCCTTCCAACACCACCCTCTTTTCTGCACTCGCTCGGCCACGACCAAGCTCTCCCTTCAGCACACGGTCAATCGAAACAAACGTCTCTCACTCCTGGGAAAAACGCTTAGTCAACACACAATTCTCTACTGATATCTCGCGGCACGCTGCTCGTCCTCACAGCAGAGAAGCTTTGACGGCTGCGCACATACGTCACCTTTACTGGTACTACTATACACCCAGGGCTGCCCATCGAACCAGCGTAACCAAGGCGACAACCCACATTGCTCGCACACAGGTGAGCGCAGCTCTAATGCCGCGGTCTTTCATTGCCTTGAAACTAACTCCGCACATAGTAGGAGCGAGTCAAGCTCGTACATCCAAGAACCACCCCCACGAACTCACGAGAGTCGATCATAACCACGAAGCCAAGATGCCAGCAACACTTGAGCCAATCCGACGCGTCAAGTGTACTTACAAAGACTGCAACATGTCCTTCGAGACTGAGAAGATCATGAAGAATCATAAGAAGAACACTGATGAACACGAGTACTGTCACAAGTGTGACGAAGACTTCGATACCTTCGAGGACTACGCCATGCACAAGATCACGCGTCCAGAAGAGCACAACCTGGCATGCCGTGTCTGTGGTGATGAGTTCAAGAGCAAGTCAGGCCTGAAGCGCCACATCGAGCTCAACCACAAAGTCGACCAGAAGCTCACCTGCATCGGCTGCCAGAAGTCGTTCTACCGCGCATGCCTCTTCATCGAGCATCTTGAGTTCGGCCACTGCGACGTCATTCCAGCACAGCAGTTCCAAGGCCATATCGTCCACAAACATCTGATTGCGGATTTGCTGGACGGCGGCGAGCAGTACGTTCGCTTTCTGCAGAAGACATCCAAGTACGAGGCAGCCATCGACCATGATGATCCAACTGGAGTCGACCTCACTGATGATCATTTCGGCGACGAGTATGAGATTGGAGAAGTCAAGTACGAGGCGATCAAGCCGGATAAACCCGAACACGAGGATGTTCCAGTCTTCTACGGCCGGTATCCTCCTCTTCCCTCTCAAGCCAAATCCATTCCGGACGTAGATGCAGCAATCGCACCGATGATGGGCAGCATCTCTCTCAACGGAGCTGCTGATGACGACTCTGATGCTTCGACAGCCGTTGAATCCCCTGTCATAAGTGGCTTCCCACCAAGGTCCAGTTCTCATCCCGGACACTCTCATCAAGGCCAAAGTTGCTCTTCTGCACATGGCGAGTCCGCGGCTCAGAGCTCAAACACCCAGTCCTCCAGTCGCCAGACCAAGGTCTGGGGCTCTCGCAAGGGCAAGACAACGAGCTCAGTACTATTCCCCAACGCCAAGCCCAAGGCCCCTCCCAGCGACTTCTCCATCTCCGCCCACGACGAGATCATGGAAAAGGAACACGGTCGCAACATCTTCAGCTTTCGGTTCTGGGATCCCATGAGCGACGACTGGAATCCCGAGCGCTTCTGGGACCCCATCGTCAACAAGTACTACTGTCCCTTCATCTGCGAGTAAGTCCATCATGCCATCCTTAGCCCTCTTCCCTCGCTAACCCTTCCCCAGACAGTCTTTCCCCATATCCAGCGACCTCCACACGCACATCCTCGGCGACCATCGCATAACCCGCATGAAATGCCCAAAGTGCCTCAAATACTTCAAGTCCGCCACCGCGCTAATGGCGCACTGCGAGTCGCGTGGAGCCCGTTGCAACATCAACCAGACGGACAACTTCAACAATTTCCTCGACCGCATGTCTGGAGGCTTCCTTGGTGTCAATGAGAAGATTCGGCCTGATCACCTTAATACGCGTTCTGTTATGATCCAGAACTCGGAGACGGGCCATATGGAGCTGTACAAGCCGCCGGTTGCGAGCTATCTCCAGTATGAGGTTACGACGCCCCCGGATTGGAAGGATCCGGTTAGGCAGGGTGTGACGATTGGGGGCATGGGCGGGGGATCACGGTGGTGAAGTGAGGTGATGGTGGTGCGGTAGGGATGGGATGGAGTTTGTGTATGTGGCTTTGGTGACAAAAACCCTGGGACGAGCATGATTGCCTCAGGGACCAGTCGATATCTGCTGGATTGCACATGGCAATATCACGGTGGCACTAGATTTCATTTCTCATAATCGGAGTGCTTTACTGTGCTCTTCCGGCTCGATCAATCATGATGGTATATAGAGAAAAAGGTAACCAACTCAGCGGTAGAAAAATACAGTTCTCCAAAGCACCTCATACAAGAAAAAACCTAAACAGGTCTGGAGCCTACATCGACTCCAGGTCACCTATCTTGTATGCTTTCACGTTAATGTAGGCTGCAGGCCTGTTCAGCGTGTTTCTTGGTTGACGTGAAAATTGAATCTTTGGTATCTATGCTCCATCAATTCTGAATGCAGAGGCCGTTGATATGTAAACCACAAAATTCACATCTCATCTTGATCTCAGCTACCCACTTCCGCATCTACATAATCCGTCCCACCGCCATCTCCGCCATCATATTAGGCAAATGACTTGGATTCAGACTCCTCTTACTCGGCGCGTCCGTCGTCGTAAGATTGAGGCTTCCCATGTCGCACCATGAGACTCCGTTTGTGGTAATAGGCTGTTAAAAAGATGTCGTTAGCAAGCCGTACTTTCTGCCAGATACAACCCAAGATGGGGCATGGATAGAACGGGGGGTAAAACTTACCAAACAGCTTAAATGCTTGCACCAACTACACGTATTCCGCCACTCATAAAAGTTCCGCAGCAGCAGAATAAATCCGATAAACACTGCTACTAACCCCCCAGCACGGACAAGCCACCACGCCCACCAGAGCGGCTTCCTCCCCTTGAAGAACCCCACGGGCTGCTTCGCAAACGCCGTGATCTTGCTATTGCTAGTCTTTGGTTTACTGCCCTCATCTCCGTCCGCACCGAGCGATGCGGAATGAGCTAGAGGAGCCGTATCCACCGTCGCATACGGGGGTTCACTCTGGCCCGTGCGTGCGCGCAGAGATTCGGGAGAGTGGATAATACAGATACCTAGTACGATGCCCATGAGGAACCCGCCGATGTGGGAGAAATTGTCCAGGCCGGGGAGTAGACCGATGACGAAAGCGATGGCCATGTCGAGGAGGAGGAAGAGGAGGTCTTTGACGGGACTGCGGCGTGTAGACCAATTGTACAGCAAGTCCAGCATGGTGAGTGCGAGGACGCCGAAGAGGGATCCCGATGCGCCGACGGAGGTAATGCCGTCGGGGGCGTAGTTGCCGCCTAGTACGAAACCGAAGATGCCGGCGGAGAAGTATACGAGTGCGAAGCGGAGGGGACCGATTTCCTTCTCCATGTCGCGGCCTAGTGTCCACTGGAGGAGCATGTTGAAGCCGATGTGAATGAGTCCAGCGTGGAGGAAGATGGGCGTGATGAAGCGCCACCATTGGTTGGGTTCGTGGCTGCGGTCTTTGAAGTCTGTGACGGAGGTTTGGTCGGGGACGCCGCTGCCCATGCCGCAGAGTTCGGCGAGGGTGCATTTGTTGTCTGTGAGGGTGGTCGTGTTGGGGCAGGGCCAATCTACGACGGGGCCTGGCTGCGCTTCGATGACGCGCTTGATGTTGTGCATGCAGGGTGTGAAGCGCGCGCCCATGTTGATGAGGACGTAGGGCGAGGGGCCGATCATGATGTTGAAGTTGGGTTTCGTTTGGATGGGGCTGCCTGTTAACATGCCTGGGGGTTGTTAGTCTGTTTCCTATACTGACAGATGCCAGACGTACCATTCTTGATCAGTTCTCCCACGAATACACCAACTTGCACCGCCGTAAGAATATACACAACCCATGTCACCCGTCCACTAAACATGCCTTTCTTCTTTTTACTCTTTCTCCGCCTCGGTTCCACGCCCATGCCGTAGTACTCCGGGTCACCATTATACCGCGTCGGGCTGCTGCCATCCATCTTCGGTTGGTTCTGAAGCGGTATTGCGTTCTGGTCGGCAAACGGATCTGGTTGCCGCGCGTATGGGTCGTTGATGTGTGCCGTCGAGCTATATTGTGTGGGAGGTTGGTACGAGGTATTCGAATACGATGTATCGATGGGATAGCCGCCGAGGGCTCCGCTGCTTGCGGTTTGGGTTGGGTAGGGCCGGTCGCCAAAGGGCGTGCTGACGGGCGAGATGGAATGCTGGGTGTGGTTGCTGGGTATCGGTGGCAGAGGCCCATCGTTCCTGTCATGCGACTGCCCTTGGGTGTTGCCGTAGTAGTCGTTGGCCGCCATAATGGGCAGGCACTTGTGGTGGTATTAGGAAGGCGCAAAGGTGCACAACGTGATGCGCAACAGTAGCAGGTGTACGTCGTGTCGAAGGGCGCAATACAGGTGAGGTCGACTCTGTCGAACAATGAAGTTGTGGGGTAGACGAAGGGTTTGGCCTTGCTTAAGCTGGGGGGCGTGCGACGACTCGTCGTCTCCGGAACAAGCCTCGCGCAAGCCTTGTGTAAGTCCAGGGGTTCGTTCGGCGTCTCGGAAACACGAAAGAGGAACAGGAAGAACACGTTAACCCAAAAACCCAGGCACTCGCTGTTATATGACCAACGCCAGCACACAATGCAGCAACGAAGCGAATGTGGGAAACGAGAGGCTGAGGGTTGCGGTTTGCGTATGCAAAGACCGACCGGGGCTCAGAAAGCGAGTGATGCGCAACTCAGCCCCAGCTGTGGAACCGGTAAAGGATGCTGTACCCTACACCTAGCGTCTAAGCGGCGATCTGTGGCGTAGACGTGCTAATAATAACTGCCGCGCACCTTGGAGTCACTGACATACACTGAATTGACGTAGAAAGTGGCGATGTGAATGTACGATGTATCTAGTTTTAGTTGTCGCATGTTCGCGACTGCGCGCTGGCATGGAACCACGTGCAAACCCCTGGAGCTTGTGGCAGTTACCGTTGCGCTGCTGCTGCCACTGCGGAAAGTGGAGCTGGCATTCGCACTAACAGGTATAAGATCCACTTGTTTACGCGGACAGTGAGACATGCGTCACCTACATCATCAGGTATGCATGCTGATCCCAAGATCCTCTCCTGATGGTGCTGATGCAAGATCCGAAGAATATTACTGTATCCAATTCACTCTATCTAGCCTACAGCGGCGGTAAGCTCTCCCTACAATTCGGACACATAAGTCGATACCGCATCCACCCTTCCAGACACCCAGTATGGAATATGTGCCGACAAGGCGTAACCATGTACTGCCTTCTCTGTAGAATCATACTCGTCCCGCCCATGCCAGCCACGCTGCTCTCATCAGCGCCTGCGGGTATGACAGGGACTTCGATGTCGTTGGCGCAGATACTGCAGTCGAATACTTTTTTGCCTTTCGATTTGGATTCACCTGAGGCTTTCGAGGATTCGCCATCGGTGGCAGAAGCGTCGATCGTGGTGGGTGAGTCTGTGGAGGTGGTGATGTTGAGGGGCATTGTTGCGCCTTCTTCGTCTTCGCGCAGGATGGGGTGGTAATCGTATGCGGGGGGTGCCCATCCGTCTCTGATGAAGAAGCGCGGGCCTAGCATTTCCTGGCTCACCAGCACCACCACTTGGATCCACACCCACCCTGCCAGGAAACCCATAGCTCTCCAGTCTGTTCTTGAAAACAGTACATTGTCTTCTTTCATGTAAAAGTACGCTACAGGTGCGATGCGGGCCACGCTCGTTCCTACAACGTAGTCCCAGCGCAGTGCTCGCCGGCAGTTGCGCATGATGTTCCGGTAGATCTGCGGTGCCCAGAACGAGAGGTAGATGAAGGTGATGACGTCGAAGTAAATCGCGCGATACGTCGTGCGAGCTGTCCCGAAGTGTATAGTTACAAAGAACAGAACGATGAGCATAAGGCAAAAGCGGCTGTATAGTGCACCAAGCTCGGCCCGGGGATTCGCATTCGTTGTCGTAGCCCCGGCTGTAGTGGGCGTATTGTTTGGACTCGGAGTGAGGTCTTCGTCGGGGTCGTCCTGGTCTGGTGCGATGATGATGGGAGTAGGTGGACGTGGCGGTCGAGCGGCAGTAGCTGGCAAAGGCAAACCGCCATCGGTGGGCGGTGTTGGAGCTGCAGGCTCAGGAGCTGGAGTTGGGGTCGCAGTAGTAGTTGCAGGACTTCGTTGTCGCTCCTGACGGGCTCTCTCCGCTGCTTGCACAGACCAGATATCCATCAAGAAGCGTAGGTGTGTCAGTACAGAGAAAAGCGCTATGAACGCGATGCTGTACAGCGCCAACTGTGCCGTACCGAGGAAGAAGTACATGAAGATGAGAATTAAGAATGTGAAGCCATCTCCAAGGGCCATCATAGCAATTGTATAGAAGCTGACCCGGCTGCGCATGGACGGCGTTGCGGTCTCTTTCATCTGCTTAAGAGTGAAGGAAAGTTGGAACGCAAGACTGATGGCAAAAGCGAGGATGCCGTGTCTTGCGCGCACATTGAAATCTTCTGTCTTGGATCCAACCAGGTGCATGGCTTCTGATGGGGGGAAATCTGGAGGACCCTTTGACTCAATCACGAAACCACAATCTGGAGAGAAGCCCACCATAGACATGGCGTGAGGGATATCGTGTGGGATAGGAGCGCCAGTAGGAAAGCGGAGCTCGTGCTCGAGCCAGTCCATGTCGACGTTGGATTGGCTTGGAAACTCTTGAAGATACAAGACGAACTCGCAGTGGTGCCCTTGGAACATACCTTCATTGTTGCCCTCCGCAGCGGATGTCCAGGGGTTCCAGTTTGGGAAAGCTCTCTTCTCTTGCCGTTCTATAGCTTCGTGTATCGTCCGATTGAGGAACTCCTGGGACGTCGAGTAGAAGTATGGCGTAACCTGCAGGTGAGGCAAAGCGAAGATGCCCGCAAACCGATCACTCGTAGTAGTCAGAACAGCAGTTCCACTCTTCATAAAATGAACGCCGTGTGCCACGAACTCCCACCAGTTCCCCCCAAAGCTGTCTTTGTCTCCGATGACCACTTTCGCGCTGATCTCAGATATCGTCTTGTTCGCATTCCTCCGCATCCTGTCTTCCAGCTCTGTGACATGTATCCGCAACGGTCCACCTGCACCAGTCAGGTTCCTGTCGTATACCGCCATGTTTCCAAAGGGATCGTCGGGTATGGCTGAGGCGTTGCCCATATCGCTGGGATGCCGTATGCGACTCAGAGGCGAGCGCGTCCATTCTCCCTGCACGTAACCAGACAGGTTCTTGTATACCGGCATGCCAGCTTCCCCCTCCTGCAGCGGTCCATACAGCATACTCTTCCACCCATCTCCCAGTAGTCGCTCAGACTGCGCCTTTGCCTTCTGCCTCACTGGGTCCAGCAAGTCCCACGCAAAGCCATCCTCATCCCGCAGCCCAGTGACATTGAGCCACCTGTCCTTCCTTGGGTTGAAATCGCCGTATCGCGTCCGATTTAGGATATCGAGTTGGTAGTATTCGCGCTCGATGAGCTCTCGGTAACGGGTGCGCGCATTGAAGGTTGGCTGTTGCTGTTCGGGCGAGTTGATGAGCAGCAGCAGGATTATAAAGAAGAGAAAAGATCGGGGGTCTCTTCTAGTTTCCATCAGGGCGGCTTCGGTCGTGCGTGAGCCGCCATGGAGCGGGTGGATGCAGGCAGGCGGGAATGCAACGGTAGGTAGCGTTGGACGGATGACGTGCGCAGATCCGAGGTCTCGACTCACGCCTGTCTGCTATTAACGTGCAGGGTCCACGCACGACAGCTTGGCACAAGGTAGCTCTCACAATTATGATCACACCACATGTTCAGAGTTTGGATGTGTCTATCTATCGATTTCGGCCAAAGGGCAAGAGGGGTATTGGGTCAATTCTATGTACACCGAGAAAGCGGGCAAGATTACTTCATCATGGCCTATCCTAAACACCTGCAAACGCCTCCATGCTGATCCTTTTCTTCGTACGCGTAAGCCGTGACTCTTTCAAATAGCATAAGGGCATAACAACATCTACTGCATCGGGCTGCTAATCGCTGGTGGCGCAGCCTCCAAGTCAACACGCTGGACCGTCTGGCGCAGGTCGTTGCTGCTGCGGACGAGGTTGCCGAAGTACTTGCGAGCGATTTCGGTTTCCGCCTTGAGCTTCGTTGTCTCCTCCTTCTGCAACTGGAGCTTCTCGACGTTCCTCTGCAGACCGATGCGGACATCGTTAGCAGGGCCCTTGAGTGCGCGGCGAACCTCGGAGCTGATGCGAAGGGCATTAGAGTGCGTATAGTCGATCGCTGAGAGCTGTTGAGATAGCTTTGCGCTGAGGCGGTGAGGTAGCGACTTGGGCACGGAAGCCAGGACGTATGATACTCCGAGAGCAACTAGAGACGTTAGTATAGATCAAATAACAGCAAAAGGATGTGCTTACCACCAGCGATGAGACCGGGAATGATCAGTCTCCTCATGTTGCTCGTACCCATGACCTTTGCAGCACCAAGGGCACCGTCTAGCCAGCCGACGCCGCCGACTAACCTGCCACCTACTACACCGGCAACAGTCATGGCCATACCAGCACCGGCAGCCTTTTCTTGTCGTTCCCATAGACTGGCGACATCGAAGAAGTCCCATAGGTCGATGTCGATGTCCACTTGGCGCGCGAGAGCGTGCACTGACTTCCTAAACATCCTCTCTGGGCGGAACATGACATCGGCATACAGGTTGTTACCAAGATGTAAAACACCCAAGTTCTTGATGCCGTTGTAGCCTTGTACCGCTTGGGTTCGTGCATGTTCTTCGCACAAGCGAACCGCTTCGGTGATCTCGTGGAGCATGGAGTCTCTGATATCCTCGGCGTACTGGTAAGCTGAGAAGAGGCCTGGGTATTCGATGCCAAGATCCTGCTCCGCAACCCTAGCGATAGAGTTGTTGAGCGTGTCCCGGGTGTGGCCGTAGACGTCTGATGTTGTGTCTTCGACCATACGATCAACTGCCTCTCCGGCTTCTGTCCGTGACTTCTTTGACTCTTCGAACTCGGGCTCGAGCGCCTGGATCTCCTTGGTGACACGGTCCAATTCGCTCTGAGAGACATCCCGGTTGACAGTGGCAAGGTTGTTCATGTCTCCTAGCACGTTGAGGAGATAGGTCTTGGCGGGTGCCAGCTTGGATCGCGCCCTCTTCTCCAATACGAAACGTCTCAACGAGGCCTCGAGATCAGCAAAGTCGCGCTGCTTCTCTGCTTCCTTGCCCTTTCCTTTGTCAGAGGGGTCATCGTCACCGTCGTCATCCGGGGGGCTCCCTCCTCCACCCATGGGAATGGCGTTACTGGAGACGAAATGCACCAGTTCGCTGGACTCCTTGAATGTGGCGGGACTGAGATTGGCGACTTGCTTCAGGATCATTTCCTGGCAACGGTTCTGATCGCGGATGGTGTCGAAGCCGTTGACCACCATGAACATGTATGCCTTCTCTCGCGCAGCGGTGAAGATGAAGTTCTTGGCGGACTCGGTGAAGTGGTTGGCGGCAGAGACGACGAAGACGACAACGTCAATCTCTTCTTGGCGAGCGAAAACGGCGGTTGTCTTCAGAGAGTCGGCGTTCAGACCCGGGGCGTCAATGAGAGCGATGTCGACGACTCCGTTGTTGAGGAGAGACTCATCCACGTCCCGGATGTCCTTGACGTAGATCTTGCATTGTGAGAAGTGGTCGTTGTCGATGACGATCTTCTCAAGGTCCTTCAAGTCGAATACAACATAGGTGCTCTCGTCGTTGCGGTTGTATGTCGAGCCGATGGGAATCGCGTGGACCTCTTCTACTCCGCCGTTCTCTCTGAAGTCAAGCACCTCGCAGAATATGCTTGTGCAGGGCTGCTGGTCTTCGGGAAGGACCTTGCGTCGGAGGAGGGCGTTGCAGAAGGTTGACTTTCCGGCGTTGAGATCTCCGGTGACCAGGACCTTGCTCGATGTGTCCTCGATACGCTCTTTGAGAGAGAAGAGGTGGCGTATGCTCTGCTGGATCTGCCCGTCGAGGAGAGAGGCAACCGAGTTCTTCTCGAGCGAGTGTACCAGGTCTGTCTGGTTCCGGCCTCCCATGCGCAGTTCCAACTTCAGGACGGAGAAGTCGTGGGCCAGCTGTGGCGTGACCAGTCTGGGCTCCTCCTTGCGTTTCTGTTCGGCGGCTGAGCTCGATTCGCCGAAGTCGTCTCCAATCGTCGTGCCCGCCCGGCGGGGTCCTCGCGGTCGTTCGGGGGAGCGCATGTCGGGGTCGAAGTTGCCCATGGCCGACTGTGTGTGCTGCAGGCCGGGCCGTGATTCGTTGCGGAGATGTGCTTTTTGCTTTTCAGCCACCTGGACCGAGGGGTAGTGGGCCGGCCATTTCAGGTTCATCTCTTGGAAACTCTTCAGCGTCTCGATGGTGCCCGCAATGGCGCGGCCGAGGGCGTTCTTGTTCTGGTTGTAGCGCAGTTGCAGGACATGGCTGCGCTGGCGCTCGTGTTCGGCGTTCCCTGAGCCGGCAGACAGCATCGGTGATGGCCTGTCTTCGCCAATGTTAGACCGCCAATTCATGCCGCTGCCTTCGCCGTCTTGCATACTTCCGCCGTAGCCAGAGTCCTCGTCGAGCATCGAGACGAGGCGGGCGGCGGCGTCGCTCGTGGTGCTGCCGCCGCCGACCGTCATGTATCCGGGTCCAGCATTCCGGCGCGGGACGAAGTCGTCGGATTGGCCACGGCGGCCGCTGCTGGAGGACTCGCCGGGCGAGGAGGGGCGGCCGTTGCGTCGATCGGGATTCATCGAGGTGGTTCGGGTGGTTGCGCTATGAGGAGGGGCGCATGTCGTGATAGATGCGGAGGGGCGGGTGTGAAGTTGTGGAGAGAGGCGGTGTCGAGAAAGAATATGCTGAGACAACGTCAGAGTTGGTGTGCACACGCCACCTCGCACCCAAGCAGGGATTGGCTGTCGTGACAGCTACATACACGCCCACCAGGGCACTGCCGCGGCATACACGTGTGCAGCTATTTCACGTCAACCTTTGCACGTCTGGCTGGGCGCTGTTTAATGCGTGAATTGCTTGGGTGAATTGGTGTACTAGAATTGCGCTTGCGTACATGTGGGCAAGTGGTAGATAATTCCCTCGAGGCTCGGCATCGCCATACCTGCGTCTGCGTATCTTGCCCTCCACGCCTCAACCCGGCCGAACATCAAATGACATAATCGGGCAAGGCAGCCACTTTTGCAACTTGACGTCTCTGCCTCTTCCCGCACAAACACCCGCCTATCCAGAGCTGGTCTCTTCCTCTAGTCTTGTAATCTGAGCGAAGTGGTCGGTCGTATCGCGCTGCCCGCCGCACCCACATCTCCAAGTCTACCCCAGGATCCTCCACAAACCTCGCCCAATCTAGTCGCAACCATGAACGTATGTGTACCTGCTCTTATACATAGCGCATGCTAACAAACCTGCAAGATCGTAGAATGGGCCTTCGGAAAGCGCATGACGCCGGCGGAACGGTTGCGGAAACACCAGCGCGCACTCGAGAAGACGCAGCGAGAGCTAGACCGCGAGCGCGTGAAGCTTGAGAACCAGGAGAAGAAGCTAGTCGCAGACATCAAGAAGAGCGCAAAGAATGGGCAGATGGGGCCTCTGCGCATCCAGGCAAAGGACCTGGTGCGCACACGGCGGTATGCTGAGTCGCTGTCGCATTGCTGATAGGACATGGCTAACGTACGCCAGATACATCCAGAAGTTCTACCAGATGCGCACACAACTGCAGGCGATTTCGCTAAGGATACAGGTATGGCAGATACCTACTAGGGGCGGACATGGCTGACTCTAGGCAGACCGTACGCAGTAACGAGCAGATGATGCAGTCTATGAAGGGCGCGACAAGTGAGTATACATCTGCAAACTCTCGCTAGACTAGTCTAACATGCGCAGCACTGCTCGGAAGCATGAACAGGCAGATGAACCTGCCCGCGCTCCAACGCATTGCCATGGAGTTTGAGAAGGAGAACGACATCATGGACCAGCGGCAGGAGATGATGGACGACGCTATCGATGATGCCACTGGCATGGAAGACGAAGAAGAGAGCGAAGACGTCGTCAACCAGGTCTTGGATGAGATAGGCATCGATCTTGGCCAGGCTGTGAGTACTCTCTCACTACCAAGACCGCAATCGCTAACGTCGCATAGCTTGGCGAGACGCCCAGCGGACTGCAGAAGAACGCAGTACCTGAAGCTAGGGTGGCGCAGGCTGTTGGCGGCGGCGGAGCTGACCCTGATGACGACGACCTCCAGGCACGCTTGGACAGCCTGAGAAGGTGAGGTGAAGGGCTAGTACCAGAAGCAACTTCGCCATGCCCGCGCAGCATTCTTGGCTCGGTGTCAGCATGCATGTATATCAGGCCGACGGCTTGAATAGAGGTTCTTTCTTGATCACGTCAAGAGACAGTGCAATATGCGTATGAAGATCTGAAGATCTCAAATTTCCGCTGTTCATGTTGCGGGATAGTCATGGCCGGCGGTTGTACATAGACATGTTAGTCAATTCAAGCCGGCTCCACAGTACGCGCCGGTCTGCATGCGCGCGAGCCTAGATCGTGCTGATCCGCAGCCCAAAACCCTGGATTTGCTTTGGGTATGCTAGCCTTGGTTGATATAGCAGAGTCACAGGACCGTGTATTTGGCCTGCGCCGTCGCCTCCATTCACACCCGCGCAGTACCTAGCGGGGTCGCCTTCGTGAGTCGAGTACCTGCGCAATTGATCCCCGCACTTCCACAACAAGCAGTCGGGTTCCCACTGCGCACGCTGCCTGCAACTCACTACCTATCCGCCCACGCTATCTCGACGATCGTCCAATCTCAACCCTGGAACGTGCCCGCGCCTTGTCATCTTTTCGCAGTGTCAAGCCTTCTCTTGCGCCAATTGATATTTCCGGCTGCTCGCCCCGCCATACACCCTCGACGTCATTACACCTAGCACCGACGACTCTCACGACTCCTCCTCTTGCATCCGTCTACATCTTTCCTACATTCTTGTCCCTCGAGCCCCGCTTATCTCATCCGCGAATCCGCCGCCGCCTCGGCCGCCCCATCTGCATCGCCGCCACTGCCCAGTCACCAAACGCCAGCGCCATCCTCCAAGCTGGCAGGTAACAGGCGTCGGAGCGCCCAGGGAGGCTTGCTCTCGAAAATGTTTGGCAATGCAAAGGACGACGAGAGTCCCGCCGTCGACACCCCTGCCAACCATGACGCGCCCAAACCCGCAGCCCCAGTGGCGGACAACGCAGCTGCTGCACCTACAAACACAACCAGCAACGGCTCCGCTTCCATAGATCGCAAGCCCAGTGACGCTTCTGCCCCCACCGAGAGAAAACGACGGAGTAGTGGCGTATCGCGTGCCCGCGACATGTTCTCGAGCGCGAAACAGTCGCTGCACCTAGGCGGCTCTTCTCCCACCAACACGACCAACAACACCATGACCGAAAAGGCCGCCCCTCAGACGCCCATGCAGAAGCTGGGCAAGTCGGATGCTGCCCTCAGTGTCCCCCAGGGCTCCCTCAACAACTCGGCTGGCGAGTCGGCGCCCGGCCCACGATCTACCTTCCGCGTCGGTGTCACAGAGGATAAGAACAAGAAGTGCAGACGAACGATGGAGGATACCCACGCATACCTGTACAACTTCCTGAGCACCCCAGCGCCCTCGTATGCCGCCGACAAGGCCCGCGCCATCTCCGACGCCAGCTCCACTCAGTCGGACCCTCTGTCGCAAGCTGTAGTTGAAACAGACAACGGATACTTCGCCATCTTCGACGGACACGCCGGAACCTTCGCTGCCGACTGGTGTGGAAAGAAGCTTCACCTGATCCTGGAAGAGACAATCCGGAAGAACCCCAACACCCCGATACCCGAGCTGCTCGATCAGACCTTCACCGTCGTCGACCAGCAGTTGGAGAAGCTTCCTTTGAAGAACAGTGGTTGTACCGCGGTCATTGCAGTTCTGAGGTGGGAGGACCGAGTACCTAATGCGCAATCGTCCACCGGCTCAGTGCTCTTTGCACCCGCGGCTGTATCGGCTATCAAGCATGCAGGCGAAGGCGGCGAGGCTACCGATTCCGCTGTGGAGCCCGCAGCTGAACAGCAAGTCGAGGCGAGATTACGCAACGAGGCCAGCCGACAGCGCGTGCTGTACACCGCCAACGTAGGTGATGCGCGTATTGTCCTCTGCCGCAATGGCCGAGCGCTGCGCCTCTCCTACGACCACAAGGGCAGCGACGAGAACGAGGGACGCCGTGTTGCTAGTGCCGGCGGCTTGATTCTCAACAACCGCGTTAACGGCGTCCTTGCTGTCACACGAGCACTGGGCGATGCCTATATGAAGGACTTGGTCACCGGACACCCGTACACCACCGAGACTGTGATTCAGGCCGAGCAGGACGAGTTTCTCATTCTCGCTTGCGATGGTGTAAGTAATGCAGTCACGAGTTCATGACATTTGCTAACAGCTATAGCTCTGGGATGTCTGTTCTGACCAGGAAGCCGTCGACCTAGTCCGCCAAGTTCACGATCCGCAAGAAGCCTCCAAGAAGCTCGTCGACTACGCCCTCGCACGCTTTTCGACCGACAACCTCTCCTGTATGGTCGTTCGCTTCGACAACAAGGCTCTTCGGCAGCGCAAGAACGACGCCGCGATGGGTGTGGACGGTGACCAGTCGACCATGAAGGGCGGAATCACCGAGGCAGACGCCATCGTAGCACAAGCGAAGAAGTCAATTGGCGAGCCTGAGATACCGGTCGAAGCAGCGGCACAGGAAATTATTATGGAGGAGGCCGAGGCTGAGCCCGGTCCTGAGCTCAACTTGGACGCCGCAAAGGCAGCCAGGAAACACGACGCATAGTGTGGATGGGTCACGACTTGGCATATGGATACTATGAATGGAGGAATATCTTGGAAGGGCAGGCGGCGTGCAATGTTCATGGACAGATGGCGGCAGTGTATGATTTCTAGCGTACCTGAGGATCCTTTGGGACCAGGTTTCTTTCGGGTGCATTCCCTAAGGTTAGCCGTATCTCAGAACTGAGCGCTTCAATGTAATCAAAGCAAAGCAAGTAAAGATGAGCTTGTCACACGTATATGTTTGCTGTCTGTTGTATGCTGCATCATTGTTTGCCCCGCGTGTTTGCGCATTGACATTCCAGGTCCACGATGCGCTAATGACGATCGTGGGGCCTTTACCTGCACCGACTTTCACCGCATTCAAGAAATCCTGCGTCTACTAGCCCCCATTCCCGCTGCATCTACCCCCGAAGCTTGGATCACTGGAGTCACGCTCATGCGGCTCCGAGGAGCAACGCGATAATCATGTCGGGCGTCGACACGGCAGACTCTACGACCAACGCCCTCCCGAGCGATGCGCGACCCGCCTTTGTGACGCCGCGGGACCTGCTCCAACAGTCCCGAGCGCCTCTACCCCCGAAAGAGCAGCCGCGCCAACTTTCAGCTGTTGACCGCGAGCAACTGGACGGCCTGGTATGAAGTCTGGATCGCGGACAGTCGCTGCGGTAGCTGACAAGAGCTAGAGAACCATCAGAGCTTTCCTCAAGGCCAGGACGAGCTACGATGTCCTTCCTATAAGCTATCGCCTGATCGTCTTCGACACGGCGCTGCTCGTGAAGAAGAGTCTGAACATACTGAACCAGAATGGTGAGCTTGGACATTGTGTATGGAAGCACGAGCTGACGCTGTATGTAGGAATCGTTTCAGCGCCGCTATGGGATTCCAAGTCATCTACCTTTGCCGGACTCCTCACGACATCGGACTATATAAACGTCATCCAGTACTACTGGCAGAACCCAGACGCTTTGGCGCGGGTCGACCAGTTCCGCCTGAACAGTCTGCGAGGTAAGCGCTCGGCTTCGCATACCGGACACAAGCTCACACAGACAGACATCGAGAGATCTCTGGGCGTCAAACCCATAGAGACCATATCCATCCACCCCGACCGACCCGTATACGAAGCATGCCGCAAGATGCTCGAATCGCGCGCGCGGCGTATCCCCATTGTCGACAGCGATGACGAGACACGTAGAACCATGGTCGTTAGCGTCATCACCCAATACCGCATATTGAAGTTCATCGCCGTGAACGTCAAAGAAACACAGAAGCTGCGGAAGCCGCTGAAGGAGCTCAATGTCGGTACATACGAGGATCTCGCGACTGCATCGATGGACACACCGGTCATGGACGTCATCCACATGCTTGTTAAGAAGAGCATATCAAGTGTGCCCATTTTGGACAGAGCCGGTAGGTGGTAGTGTTGGATTACGGCAAACTTGGCTAATATCCACAGGTACCGTGCTGAACGTCTTCGAAGCCGTCGACGTCATTGCACTTATCAAGGGCGGTGTATACGACGACTTGAACCTTACAGTCGGTGACGCGCTACTAAAGCGCTCAGACGTACGTCTCTACATCCTCATTATTTACACTCCTCTAACAACGCCCAGGACTTTCCTGGCATCTTCACCTGTTCGCTCAACGACAACATGTCCACTCTATACGACACGATCCGCAGATCGCGCGTCCACCGCTTCGTCGTCATCGACGAAAACAGCAAGCTCAAGGGCATGGTGACGCTAAGCGACGTTCTCGAGCACACGCTACTGGAAGGCATGGAGGACGAGTAGAACGACGCTATCCTAGACCACTTGTCAGCGAGCCATGTTAAGAGTCTTAGACTGCATGAGCAGAGAATGAGGAGGTGCGATGATTGAGATGAGTGAACGTCTTGATAAGAGGACTGAGAGCATGTTTTAAGAATGATTCAAGATATCATATAAGGCGTCCTGGGAGGAAACAAGTTCGCGAATTCGAGTCATGAAGGAGGTCTAGCGAGTCAATATTAACATATTATAAATTCTTCTCGAGTCTCTAAAGTATCTTCGCGTCCAGCGCCCACTTTCTAATGGTATCTCGAGCAGCATAAACGCCGGGTATTCCCATAACAACAAAAACGAACTTTCCCCAGCCAGACGCCTCGAATCAATCACGATACCTCGACTCTACACACTCTCATCGTCATCGTCATCCCCATCCCCCACCCAACTAGTACTAGCCCCAACCAACTCCAATATCTGCGCTCCCCTCACCACACTAACCTCCCCCCTCTCCACACTTTCCTTTACAAACGCCTCAAACTCCTGCTTTCCCATGACGTCCTGCCCCTCCTCCGGAAACAGCTGCGCAGACACCTTTTCCGCAATGTCGGCTGGGATGCGGCCTGCGGCGCTTTGCACGGCGAGGCCGAGGACGAGGCGCGCAGTGCGGATTAGGTGCGTGTCTGTTTGGCTGGTGGTGGTTGAGGTCGAGAGGGCGCGGTGGAGGAGGAGGATTGTTGTGCGGGAGTCCGGGGAGGGGGGTGGACTAGTGGCGGTGGTGGTGGGGAGGGAGGAGTGGGTTGAAAGGGGGAAGTTGTCGATACATGAAAGAGGGTTTTCGAGTTCGGTTGTTGGTGTGGATAAGGGTGATGGTGAGTGACGAATAACAGTTGTCGTAGGCGAAGGTTGGGGTGTGATATCCGAAAGCGGGTTTTCGCTTTCAGTCACCGGTGTGGATAGAGGCGATGGTGATGGGGAAGGCCGTGAGTGCGAACTTCGGATGAAGAGAGTGGGTGTCGGTGTATCCGCGAGTGGGTCTCCAATCTCAGTTACTGGTGTGGATAAAGGTGATGGTGATGGAGTAGTCTGAATAGCGGTGCCAGGTCTTGAAAGAGGTTGCCGGATGTGGATAGTAGTTGGCGAGGCTTGCAGCATTGCTACGGCGGTTGCGGGGATATTCTCGCCTATGACTGAGGTGCTGGGTGTGATCTCGGAGCTTCTTGGAGATATGTATCTCGTGAAGCCGGTGAAGCCGGATGGGACGCGGGCACGGGATGGTGTTGCTGGACTGGTTGGGCGGGACGGTCGGTAGTAGGGGATGGGGAGGGAGTAGTTTATTGGACTTGTTGGAGGTGAGGGGCTCGCTGGGGTGTCTTGGGGGAGTGGCGTGGATTCGAAGAGGGATGGGGAGAAGGAGAAGCTGGAATGAGAGCTCGGTGTCGATGTAGATGTGGAGTCGCTGCCGGTATCAAGAGGATGAGGTCGGGTGGTGGAGATGGGGATGAAAGCGATTGGCTATAGCAAGTATATGTTAGTAATGTTCTAGGGCAAACGGATGAGGGTATAGGCAGACTTACATCAATCTGCGGTGCTTCATCCGAGATATCCAATGGTGAGGGTGCTCGCTCCGCCCAGTCTTCTTCCCGAAGTGACATATGCTTATCACTACATTCTTCACATCCAAAATCCCTGCAATGAAACCCCGATGTTAGCAATCCGCCATCAATGTACGGGAGTATAGCTTCGGGTAAATCGCACCTCTTGCACCGTCCGTGGTGGAACTTGTGACTGCAGCTCGTCCTCATCGAGGTCCTCGGGGTAGAGGCAGAAGACGAGGACTTGAGATCTAGGTGGAGAAGGTCGAGCAGAAATGTCTTGATGCGGCAATAACGACCGTGTGCTATGCAGTCTTGTAGTTCTAGGGGCGTCAGGGTGCAGTGAGATGCTGTCGCGTATGCCGGATGTGAAGCCTTGATTGGTGAAGGAGGGAGAGACGGTGAGTATAGGTCTAGGAAAGATTGCGAAGGCGATGTAGGGGTTGGCGGCTCCGAAGGTATCGAGCATAGTGTGTGTGCGCTTGCGACTGTGAAGACGCTGCTTCGATCCCGTCTATGTCGAGCATGTTTGCGGCGTGCGTCTTCTTTTGGCTCGAAGCCGTTGCCGAATCTGAAGTCGTATCGTAACTCGCCCTTCCTATGGTGTGGCCGGTATTTGGATTCTGGTGTAGTTGAGCCAGAAATTGTGCGACGAGGCCTCGTGGGTGTTGTGTTGATATGGTAGTTGTGATTCATAAAACTGTCTGAGCGTCGGAGTCGTTGTATGTCAACGTCAGACATACTCCGGATCTTAGGCTGCCGGTGATGATAATTAGTCTCTGAGATAGGTAGGGGGATGAGATGAGGGTATGTTGACAGCTGGTGGGTTGTGGCCTCCATGACTGCGGGGATAGAGGGTTCTGAGGTGGAAAGTAGCGTTGAGCTAGGAGTGTAGAGTAGAGTGTAAGTACCTTTGTTCGCCCGAGGTCGCAATGCTGGACTGAACTGATGGATGAATGAAGGCTCAGATGCCTTGTTTTGGTCCGATTGCACATCTGCTGACCCAAAACCACGGTAGAAAGGGCCCGAAAGAGGTCGAGACATTCACTGCCTTCATCCTGCTCCAAAGAGCACACATTGTTACCCTCACTAGCGTGTGAAAGATGTCCGCGTCCTAAGAAAATCATTTCAAAGTCGCTACCGTCGATTGTCGTTGTGAGCATGATGTCAAAGCAATAGCGTCTTTGTTGAGATACATCGCCTAGCCCATGGCGGCGGGACAATGACTTTATGAAGCGTACGTCGTTATTAAACTCGGTTCTGTCTTACTGCGGGAGCAGAATCTAAGGTTCGCGTCATTTTGCTGAAACCTGTCATCCTAAGAAGATTGATTGCGATCGTAACTTAGTTTGGGAGTAAGCTGAAGAGGCCGTGTTACAACACATTGCGCAGAGGAGTAAAGTTTACCGTTTGTTTCACCTCGTTCTGGAAGGCGGATGGAATCGGCGGCAAAGTTTGAACGTCGATGAAGCGATCGATTGCACCATTATGTGACGATAACCGTTGCTGTCACTGTCAAACTCAAGTGCTCGTTACTTCCTTGATGACCGGTTGGGTGGCTGGGTGGTTGAAACCCGACTGCCGCCTGCCGCCGGCAAACTGCCCGCCTCACTTCTCGAACACCCAACCACCGCTCCTCAAGCTTCACACGCTCAACCCTTATGTATATCTTGTATGTATACGCGTACAGTTCCCATCTTCTCTCATAGGCGAGATAAAAATGGAGATGGAGGGCGCGTTCTTTAGTGAGTGATGCCGCCCTTCGATGTGCGCGCGCCCTTCGCCTAGCAACTTCAACTCCTCACAGCCAACAATACCGACGGTGAATTTGCGCGAGCGGGATTGCTACGGTCAGTATCTAAAGTTCTTCGGGAAATTCTTGCTTCGAAACACACTACAATTCGTCGGCTTGTACTGCTCATCGATTAAACTTTACCGGTCGACACGTCGACAGCGCACGACAGCCACTAGACGTACGCTTGGACGTCTTTTCACCACCTGTCCGCCCTCCTCATCGCGACGCTTCGAAACACCAACACCGCCTCACCAAAATGAACGAACAAAACGAATCCCTCCTCTTCCGTCTCCCGCGGGAGTTGCGCGATGAGGTCTACCACTACTATGTTCTTGAGGAAGACGGTTACCACCACGATGCCACGTCTGACAAGCTTCGACAGGCTAGCGGACGTCCGATCAATTTAAGTTTGCAGTACACTTGCAAGAAGACTGCGACCGAGATGGAGGGTCTGGCTCTGCAGGTGAACAGGGTTACATTCCGTACAAAGCTCGAAGTACCCGAACCTGACAGCGAATGCTCGAACGCGCTTTTATGGAATCATCTTCTCTGTGAACGAGAACGACCTCTCCGACGTATGTTCGAGTGGTCCTATACTCTGATTACACTCGAAGCTATACAACGCCTACGAGAGCTGCACCCGGATAGTACCGCGGCGGAGCAGATCGAGAAAGCGTTCATCAGGATGGGCGACAGGATTCACTGGCTCAGCCCCGGTACACTGTTTAATGAAGGCGTAGTTTGGAGTATAGACTATACAGCGCACACAACTCTACTACAAGACTTGTTGCAAATCCTATCCACCCACCCAGAGTTCTGGCGGTTGACTTCCAAAGAGTATACCAAAGAGTCTGAAGAAAACGACAGTAGGCACGCTTCGGCTAGTCAAATTGAGCTGTTCTCTGACTTTGCACAGATGGTAGGATTGTACACGAAGATCCGGAGTACCCAAATCAGACGGTTCAGGCGTTGATGCTTGGATGGCGCCCGGACCCATGGCGAATGCCGGATCGCGCTGAGTTTGACACGATCTTCGAATTTCTTCCACGGCCTCCTGCAATAGTAGAGGACTTTGACCGAGGGTGGTATCTGGATGACACGTACTATTCGGCTACCGCGGTGACTATTCAATTCTTAGAGCGCTTGCCACCAGCCACTCGGACGCATCTACGCAATATTACCATCCAGGAAAACGAAATAAGCGAGGCACATAGGCAAACTCACGCTAGAGGCCTTATTCCTTTCTGCTGCGAAAACCTCAAGCTTCGGATTGAGAGGAGAGTAGACGTATTTCACCAGCACTTCTTGTCCGAGCGCATGGGTTTAGAAGACGGAATCGAGGAAATTGCGCCCTGGTTCGTTGAAACCAAGTTCCTCAAGAGGCTCGGGATGCCGCCCGAATCCTTTCGCTTGGTTCTTCACGGGCCCACACCTCGAGCGAGCCAACGGCTGAGCGACCTTCTCATCAAGCTTGCGATTTGGGACGAGGGCTGCACTGTACTCGAGCATAGATTAGGTCCCAGATCCGATTATGTCGTCTACCCAATGCGTAGAGGCTTTGCGGATGGTGTTAAGAAGATGGTTACAGGCGAGCTGCCTGCAAGAGTTGATGCCGATATGGGACATGTATGGGACATCAACCAGCTCCTGGACGACCATGTTGGCGAATGGCCTGCACTCAGCGAAGACGTATATGTGAAGACTGCCACTAGGCATGCTGGACACGAATTGTCACTTAAAGAGGAGGACTAGACAGAACGACGGGATGCTGCAGTCTTCTCATCATAAATCCCTCTGCGACTCAAAGAATTCGGCGTTCGTTATACCGCTCTTGGGGTTCGTGGTACCATGGTACGCCTCCGCCGTTGCGCCCTCGGCGGCGCCCTTGGCAGCGCCCTTCGCGTTTCCCCACGTAAAAGGTCTTGATGTCCCAGACCATCGTATTTCTAACACCCACTCGAAGCCTTTGCGTCGCCGCTTCTGTGTCTTGTCTTCAAAATCTCACCACAAGCGCTCAATCCAAAGAATACCTTCTCAATCATGGCAATGGACCCGACACCACAGAACGCGTTGGATCAGCACCAGTCTCTCCTCTTCCGCCTTCCACGAGAGCTGCGAGATGAGATCTACCACTACTACTCCCAAGCAACCGGCTATTACTACGACTCCACCTCTGGAAAACTTCGAATGGACGGCGGCGAGTGCATTGATCTCAGCCTTCAATATGCCTGCAAAAGGACTTTGGCAGAGATGAGGGGTATTGCCTTGGAGATCAACACAATAACCTTCCGTACGATGCTCGATCTCCCCAGGCCTTCCGACCAACTCATGAGATCCCAAATCTTCGGTCATTACATCGGTAAAGGAAGGCGTGCCATACTTAGTCGCATGCTCGAATGGACATATCCTCTAGTTACGGCCGAGGTCATGCGTAAGTTGTGCGAACGCCATCCAGCGAACCTGGCAGTCAAGAAGATGCGGGAATTGCATCGAGAGAGAGACAGTGATGGACCCCTAGCGGGCGGACACCTATGGGGTTCGTTCGAAGATGTTGTTACAGTCGACCATAACGAGTACTCAGCGGAAGCCATCGCAATTATCCGAGATTTACTGGATATCATATCCACCGATCCTGAATTCTGGCACATGACTGCGAGCGACTTCGATGTTAACGCGAGGAGGGCCTTTTTCCTGGCAACTCAGCATTGGGCTACCCGTTGGGAGGAATTCGAGGATTATCTCACGAAGCATGTTCCCGTATACACATCCAAGGCAGAACAGCAGCGAGTGCTACAGTGGCAACCTGACAGCTGGTTTATCCCAACAAATAATGACCTTGAGGAACTGGAAGAGCTTTTGCCTCACGACGGTGATTCTCATCCTTTCAACATGGCATATATACGGGGAGGAAAGCGATCCTACTTCTCTGCAGCCGCCGTCGCGATTCGGTTCCTTTCACGCCTTAGCGAGTCTACACGTAGCCATCTCCGCCAGATCACTATACTAGAAGATGAGCGCAGCGACCCCGAATCCTCCAGTCATGCAAGAGGCCTACTTCCCTTTTGCATCTCCAACACTCAGTTGAAAATCGAGAGAAGAGTAGACATGTGGCGTACCTCACTCATCCGTACTTCGAGAGCGATCCATTGTGGAGGGAACGAACTTACAATGAAGGAGATTGGGATGTGGGTTAGTGAGACAAAGGCACTATTTGTCTTGGGAATGCCGCCTGGTTCTTACAATCTAGTCTTACACGGCCCATCACCTCTTGCAAGCCAACAAATCTGCGATGCCACTGTCAGGGTAGCAATCTGGGAGGAAGGCTGTGCAACGATCGCAAAAGCCGACCCTTCCCACGGGTACTACTCTCTCCACGTGCTTGGTGAAGGCTTCGCAGATGCGATCAAGGGGGTCATTGAAGGGAATATTTCAGCTCGGTTCGACGCAGACATTGGAAAGATTTGGGATATCGATCAGCTGTTGAGAGATCAAGATGGCGATTGGCCTGAGGACTTGGATGATGTTTTCGAAATTCGCAACCTCGAAGAGCCAGCGGAAGGCTGGCGCGCTGCATATGAGGAGCGGTTTGGGGTGTGGAAACACAGAGACTCTGTTAGACTGGACTGGACAGAATACATGGAGGGGGTTGAGATGCTTTTTGAAGCAGAATGAGGTCAATGAATCCGACCAGGTAGAGAGGACGAATGGGTGGAATACACCAACATTGTCGGCGATGGCTTGATAACCTCATGGAAGGGGAAGTTGAGTGATCAGGAAGCTGTTTGGGCTGATGAATTCAGGACATCTCATCTTCGTTGTCCAGTCATTACACTCTACAATACTGTGTATCATCCATCTGAACTATATTACCTTCTTCTTCCAGATCTTCCTTGTACAATTTAATCAGTCACCGAGGTACTGTTGAGTCTTAGACTTACATGTATTGATATTCGCCGTACCGCTTCTGTGTTCCGGATAATTCTGGTACGCCATCGCCCTTGCGCCCTTGGCAGCGCCCTTTCGCTACCATGGGAGACACACTCTCAGCTTAACGTCAAAAGCTTCGCGCGACACATTTCTCCAACATACACAAACTTTCTCGCGCCAAGATGCAGTCGAAAAAGCCCATGATCATGGACCAGCATCAGTCGGTATTCTTTCGTCTTCCTCGAGAATTACGCGACGAGGTGTATTACTACTACGTCTGGGAAGATCAGGGATACAGTCATCGCACGACTTCAGAGACTCTTCGGGCGACTAATGGGGATGCGGTTAGGATTAGTCTACAGTATACGTGCAAAAGAATCGCGAAAGAGATGGATGGAGTGGCTTTCAGAACCAACAAGATCATCTTTCGTACGATTTGTGACTCATCGGACGTTGAAGAACAGCCATCGAACGCATGGCTGTATGAAGAACTTCTCGAAGATCGCGGATCACGACTGAGACACATGTTACTGTACGCATATAGCGTCGTCTCCACAGATGTCATGCAGGAACTAGGCTCGCGATACCCATCAAGCCCCTCGATACAACGGATGGTGGATATGATCTCGACGAATGGCAACACTGGACTACGAAGCGGATATTTACCCAAGGTGGAGACTCTCGACACCTACAATGACGAGTCGATGCTCCAGGACCTAGTCGAAATCATGTCGACTCAGGCAGACTTCGCCCACTTGAGTTCCAAGGAGTACGATTTGGAACTACGGGAAGCAACGAAGATCGAAGAGACTGACGAAGACTACTTCTCTGATGACTCTGACGACTCACCCGTCCCGCCTTGCTACACACCGGAAACACAGATGAATGTATTACGGTGGAGACCCAGACTGTGGTGGATTCCTGATCGCAAGGACCTTAAATCTGTCTTGGAGTTTCTCTACATATGGCCCACCGCACCTCCTGACCCGCCTGTTGACGACGCATGGATACCACGCATGTACTTCTCCGCAGCTGCAGTAGCTACCCGCTTTCTCGAAGGGCTCTCTCCGCACGTGTGCAAACACTTACGCAAGATCATCATCACGGAAGATCGACTGAGTGTAGCTTCTCCTATAGCCCATGGGCAGGCTTTTATACCGTTCTGCATCGCGAATCCTTCTCTCCGTGTAGAACGCAGGGTCGATATCTGGTATACCGAGTTCGTGCATAGAAGCGACTTTTTTCGGGAGGATACAAGCGGAACAATTGCGTGGATTGCTACATGGATCAACGAGGTTAAGATCTTGTACCAAAAGGGTATGCCCATCGGCTGCTTCAGTCTAGTTCTACACGGACCTTCCAAACGAGCCAGCCAATAGCTTAGCGATGCCGTTATACGAGCAGCGATATGGCAAGATGGCGCTATGGAGATTGCTCGGCGAGAACAGCGACAGTTTGATGACGATGACGGTGTGGCCGAAGACTTTGTCGACGTCATCAAAGATATGCTACGCGGGGAGATACCAGCGAGGTTCGATGCGGATATGGGGGAGCTATGGGATATCGAGAAGCTCTTACGCGAGAACGATGGCGATTGGCCTACTGATGTCAGAGATGTGTTCCGTCTTCAGGATTTCGATGAGCCCGATGGTGGATGGGAAGCGGCGCGCGAGGTATACACGGAAGACGTAGCCTGGATGGACAGAGTGAATGGGTGGAGACGTTTGGCTGGGGAAGAGCCGCTGTAGTGTAGGTCTGATCATGGCGGGCAGACCATTCCTTAGCAGAAGACATGGCATTATGCAGACTCAGTAATGCAGCAATGTGGTACCAGTAACCTGGCAGCCTGAGAACAATCCGCCGGTTACAAGTTCGGCTATTAGACCAAACGAGCCAATGACCTGCTACATGAGTCGTAGTGTGCATGCTCAACGAAATCATGCTACGCCACCACCTTACATCCTCCGCGGCGCCCTTGATCAGTCTAACACGTACCAACTTGCGCGTTTCCTCACACAAAAGCCTCCACCCTGCCCGGACGATAGTGCTTCAACATGATTCGGAGGCCTTTGCGACACCGGTCGCTTGCCTTCATGCTCTCAATGCAGACTTCCAACATCGCAGACCCTCTTCCTCATGGTGAGGGACCGAGCATAAACGATCAACATCAGTCTCTTCTCTTCCGGCTGCCACGAGAGCTGCGGGATAGAATCTATGAGTACTACACACATCAAGAGCAAGGGTATATCTACGATCCATCGGCTCAAAAGTTTCGGCTACATAACGGACAAAAGATTGATGTCGCGTTGATCTACACCTGCAAAAGAGCGGCACAAGAGATAGACGGTTTGGCGTTTGAATCGAACACGATCCGATTCAGCGTCCTTCCACAGATTCCTGGCACTGAGACTTCAAGCTCTGTAGCCTTTTTCTACCGCAGTCTCTTGGAAGGGCGCAACATGTGTCTCCGGATCATGTTGTCATATGCATATCCCCTTGTCACACGAGAAGCCTTGAGAGAGCTGCGATCGAGATATCCAGGTAACACGGCAGTGGAAGAGCTAGAGAAAACGATTATCAGGGAGGGTAGAGCGGGCTTGAAGGAAGGCCGCCTTTACCCTGTGTTTAGATTGGATTATCTCATCAAAGACGATATACTTCAGGATCTCATTCAGATTATTGCGAGGCATCCAGCGTTCGAACGCCTCGTTTTGGGAGAATACGATCCATCCGCCAAGACGAGTGCTCCATTGGACTATGACCCGGTTGCGGATGACGAGGACGAATCCGAGGACGAGGATAATGACAACGACCAGGGCAGAAGTCGCTCTCGGCCATCGGTATACACGAGAGACACCCTATACCAGATTATCGAGTGGAGGCCCACGTATTGGTGGATTCCGGAGAAAAAGGACCTTGATGAGGTCGCGAAATATGTTCCACAAGCACCAGAACTCGGGACTCGCCATAATGGTCGCGTCAAGAGATTCAAAAGATACTTCTCGGCAGCGGCAGCTGCCATTCAATTCCTTGAGCGCCTTACACCCAAAAAGCGCGCCCAAGTGCGCAAAATTGTTATCCAGGAAGATTACGCGAGCTTAGGAATCTCCCAGAACCACGCGAGCCACACGAACTTAGGACTCTCCCAGACCCACGCACGCGGGCTTGTTCCATATTTGCTCGAGAATCCTAGACTTCGGATAGAGCGACGCGTCGACATCTGGGGGACTGTGCTTATCCCTAATCGCGAACGTTCCTACGGTGTCGAGCGCTGTCTCTGGGATGTTGCAACGTGGATACACGAAGCAAGTATGCCATGGATCATGGACCTGCCAACGGGTTCTTTCTCCTTGGTCTTACATGGCCCTGACAAGAGAGCCAATGAGCTTCTCTGCAATGCCATGCGACAGGCTGCAATGTGGCAGGACGGCGCTGAAGAACTGACACGCCGGGGAACCATGCAGAGAATGACTTTTATAGCCGATGACTTCGTCGACGTTATAAAGGCGGTGGTGCGCGGCGATGTTCCGGTGCGTTTCGAGGCAGGTGTGCCCGAGCTATGGGATACAGACAAGATCTTGCGCGAGCAGTCCGACCAGTGGCCATGCGCAGTTGATAGATTGAGATGCGTTACTGTTTTCCATTTCGGTATGCATGATGGAGGCTGGGACTCGGTTCGCTCAGAGCAGATGGAGGAGATTGAGTGGACGGATGGAATGGTCGTTCGGGGTCTATTTGAAACGGAAGATTAGCAGGACAGAACTACAATGGGGGCAAGATTGCGATGTCGGCTGGCAGTTCGTCTAATCATGCGGAAATGTGTGTCTTCAATGTGAAAACGTCGAAACTCTTGCGTAGAGAATTGTATGGAAGGAGCGTTAGCCATGATCGCGGCACACGCGAAAACGCGCCAAGACCTAGGTTTCATGTGTTTGCAGTCAGCTATGACGTCAACCCAGCCGCGTCGCTTTCAACCCGCGCGGCCGAGATTTGAGCTTCCAGCATGGGCAGCAAGCTGATCACAATTACGAAGCCCAAGATCTAGGGTGGTACGCCTTGACCTAAATCCAGATTCCCGCACACGCCAGCCATTGGAGGCGCCTGGACGCTGCTCCGGGCCGCTGCAGTGCATGAGATTGATTGGTATGTTGGCGGCGTTGTCGAGCTTGATTGAGGTCAAATCAGGGTATACGCTTGAATTGAGCCCCACATCGTCGCTCGCTGTAGATTGTTCCGTTGGTGTTGATGTTGGCTGTGGCTTAATCCTGGGTAGAACAGGGACAAACGCAGGCACGGCAGGAACCTACGTCACTGCCCGCGTGCCTGCCTTCATAACGCGCCAACACGGACTCTTTGACTCCGCGCATACTCACGATACCCAGTTTCCCCCACTTCATCCTCTGTACTCTTACAATTGACCCTCATAAAACACAGTCAGAATGGAGACTATCACCAACCTCGCAAGCAATGCTGCTGGCGCAGCCTCCAAGCTCATCTACGGCGACCAGACCAAGGCGGACGAGGCAGTCGACCAGACCAAGAACAACGAAACTGCCGGCAAGGAGCCTATCTCCGGTGAGCAGGGTCAGGGCACCGTCACTCAGCCCTACGACCAGGGCAATCTTGGTGAGTCCCCTCCAACGCGCGCATTGGACGACATATGCTGACCCCGCTTCACAGCGACCCCTCTAGCAACTGCTGATAAGGGAACTTTCCTCGACTACTCGAACAACGAGACTGCGGGCAAAGAGCCAGTTTCTGGTGAGCTCGGTAAGGGCACTGTAACAGAGCCCTTTGACCAGGGCAACGATGGTAAGTATACGACAATGACGGCTAGTAGAACAGAATACTGATGTATCGCACAGCCAAGGCGACCGAGAAGGCAGCCGAAAAGACTTCTGGCACAGATGAGTTCTTGAAGCTCGACCCTACCACCAAGGGACCGACCGAGACCATGACCGAAACATCGACCGACCCCAAGATCTACTCGGATAGCAAGGACCCGTCCTACATTGGCATGCCCATCGTCCCCCTCAACCCCGACGCTGCTACGTCAAACACTGGCGCTACCTCCTCTACAACCCAGGCCACTGGCATCACGGACAAGGCTGGAGTAACGGATAAGCTTTGGAAGGACACTCCACTTGACGACATCAGTCGTTCAGGTGCGCCAGGTGCTGGTCCTACTGGTCCCAGCGATGTTACTCCTGCGGCTCCCAGTTCCACGGCAACCACAACTACCAGCCCTGATCCCGCCATTAAGACCACTGCTCCCGACTCTGTAACCGGTGCTTCAAGCACATACGCGGGTGGCGCTGATACCGACACTAAGACTGATGCCGAGAAGGCCTCTGCGAACCGCGACACTCCAGAGTGGACATCAACAGGCGTTCCTTCTGACAGCAGCAACTTCGAAGCGGCTGCTGCCAAACAGAACGCTGCCTCTGGTTTGTGGACACGGGAACCCGGACAAAGTCGGGGTAGTACTGACGGTGCCGCAGGTATGACTGGAGAGCACTCAGGTCGCAAGTCCGAGTCTGCCGATTTGACTACATCACCAAGCGGCGAGGAGAAGGGCGGAAAGATGTCGCACTTGAAGGAGAAGATGAAGAACAAGCTTCACATCGGCTCCAAGGACAAATAGGTGTAAGGCGGAGGAATGGACGATCTTAATGGATGATGGATGAGATATGATACCACGGCGATAATATGCCACCACGTACGAGGACTATACTCGTAGTCTACTCTTCAGATAGAAATCTACAGCGTTGAGCTCAAGTTTATCCATCTTCCATCTCGTCCAATCATGTGCCTGGTTCGGCCTCGTGGCACTAACCAAAGTTAGCGTCGCGCCTGCCGTTCGCGATCTGACGTGCATGACAGCGTACAACCGCGATCTTATCACACGCCTCACTTCTAACAGAATAGCATCACGTTGGCATTGCTTAGACAACTTATTGGCTTTTGAAACCGTCACAAGACCGATTTTGATGAGCCGCTTCCTCTTGCAGCCTGGACAAGATCCCAAGGTACGTGAACGGCTATCCGCGCTTAAAGGTACTGTGCCACCCAGTCTACCTTTTCTATAGTAGCCTTCTCGCCAACAAAAACACCTCTTCCAAACTTTCCCCCTGTCTTCTCTCTAGTTTTATCGGTTTGCAGCCAGCATAATACACTCTGCCGCACGATCTTCGCATTGCCACTAGCGCGGCAACCACACTGTACTTTCATTCTCGGAACAACGTTGCGCTGGAACTGATTTGGCAGCCTTGCTTGTGAAGATTGCCTTGGCTACTCCAAATCGCGTCATTCTCGGCCCCGTTCATCTTTCCTCAATACAGTCGTATCACTTTTGATTGCACACCACCAATATGGGAAACATTGGCAACGAGAACGCAGTTCGCAGGGCTGACATCGCGATTGTTAGAACAACGCCTGAAAGGCAGACTCGAATATCGAAAGACCTGTCTACTTCGCCACACAATCACGACTACATGGACGAGGCGAACATGATACGGAGTGCGGCGGGCAAGATACCGCATGTTTGCGTTGTGGGCGCTGGTGTCGCTGGACTAAGATGTGCGGATCTATTGCTGGAGCGGGGCGTTAAGGTGACAATACTGGAAGGCCGGAATCGGGTTGGTGGGAGGGTATGTCTAATCAGCTGTGTAAATTTTGACGCACACTAATTAGCTGCCAGCTATGCCAAAGCGATGAGCTCGGCCACAGGGTTGATCTGTAAGTTCGC